TGAATTTGTGACTCTAGCTCATCAATGGCACCAAGCATACCCTAGGGTTTGACTTTAATATGGAATTGTATTCTATAGATTATAGATAGAATATTCATTCAATCAGCAACAAGGTCATTTGGGTAGCTTAATTAAGCTTTACTAGTTTTTGGGGCCCGTTCTACGCACGGGACGTTTGTAAGTTATTATTATGCTACAAAAAGTATTTACGAAAATAACTTTTACAATCTTATAACATTTAACATGCATGGTAGCTATATAAAATCAAATAATTGAAGACCAAATGCTTGTTATAAATTTACATTTTACATCAAATATGAAATTAAAATCTATTTCTAAAAGAGAACATTTAGTATCTTGAAAGTATGCAAGGTCTTATGATATGCAAGCAATGCCATACAGTATCGGTATTCAGAATATTCTCACACCCTTTCCTTTTCTTGCCATTCAACTTTTCCTTCTTTGAGATTAAATTTATCTCCTTTCAATCACCATCTTCATCATAACACATATTTTGCACAACATTTTTAGAGATATTTTTATGTCAATTTTATTAGGGGAATTTAGATCATGTAAAAAAATGCTTAATTAGAAATTTATATTAGGAGAGAAATATGGGTAAATGATAAAGGGTCAATGAATTAAATAACACTGCACATTCAATTAAATTGAACAAGTTCAGAGGCGCACGCAATGCGTGCACGATTATCCTCCCTACTCTTAATACTTCGTACATAAAGTTATCTTTATACTTTACTTATTTACATAAATGGCATATTGATATAATTTATTACTCCGTATTTTTTATGATTAGTAGATGTAAAAATCCATTTAAGGGATGAGCTAAAAAAGAAAACCATGCAAAAAAAATCCTACTCCGTCCGTCCCTAAAAGTTCAACTTTTATGGCCAAAATTTTAGCCCAAAAGATCATCCCATTTGCAATATAATAACCTTCAATTTGCAACAATATTTGTGCAAAATTAACTTTCCCATGTAAAATTTTGTGTTTCCATGTACTTTATTACTTTCTCTCTTTACTTTTTTGCAAATCCCATGTAAACTCATATTTTCAATGCACTTTTACTACTTCTTATTTAACTTTCTTAATATCCGTGAAAATTTCCCATAAGGGTCGATCTTTTAGGGACGGAGGGAGTAGATTTTACTTTTACATGTAGTTAAATATTTTTTTAAGCATTACACGGGCTTAAATAACTTTCACTGTATTTATGTATCATTTAAATCTTACATACTTATAAAATAAGTTTCAATATATTTCTATCATTTAAATTAAACATTCTTGTAAAGTATGTGCACAATATAAATATTCGTACTACTAATTAAATTATACTACTAACTTTTAAAACACCAAGTGTGAAATTTATATCACTAAATAACTACCATGAGAGGAGTTGTCATTGTAAATTTATGGACCAGTTAAAAATGAAAGTTATTTTTTAAGATTAAACTTTAAATAAATTTTAAATTTTTATTAATTATAATAAATTTTTTGAAGAGGGGTAAAATGGTCCACTCAAAAATTCCCAACCAAAAACACCTCTTCTCTTTATATATTACATAGATTTGAAAGATGGAGGGAGAAGAGGAAAAGATTGGTTGAATTTAAGAGGAGGTTACAAAATTATTAAACGTATTACGTAAGTGGGGGAAAATGGAAAAGTTCTACAATAACTAATGACATATAAAGAAGGCCAATAAAAGAAAAGAATTAAAAAGAAAGTAAAAGTAAAGGACACATGGCAAAGTATTATAACAAAATGTAGAAATAATGGAGGACATGTGGAAAATGGGGTTTGTGTTTTTAAATACTAAGTATAGATATAGATTAGTTTCTAATTTAAAATAAATAAATAAAATAAAATTGGCAACAGACGAACAATATCAAATCACTCAGCTACAACAAACATTTAAAAAAAAAAATAGAGTGACAATAAATAATATTGTACATCTGTAATAAAATTGTTCTTGAATAATTAAAAGTTACCCTATAATATATAAAAATTACCCCATATAAACAATATAATTGTTAGAAGGTATGTGTTAAAGGTACTTTCTTTCAATGAGTATAAATCAAACACCTTTAATTATGACTTTAATACTTAGGAAACGACACCTAAAGAATTTTCTCTAAATTGGTGAATATGCAGCATAAACAAATTAAAGATGCGTAAATATTAAAAGATAAGAAAATAATAAGGTAAGATGATATATAGTCTAATATCATATCATATCACTATTAAATAAAGTCGGATCTCCCAGCTAAGCCATGAGACAACGACACTTGGCATATCATTGCGGTTTTCCGCCAAATGTCGCGCTACGTAAGCAATAAATAGTTATTATTGTGACACATATGATGATTAGTAAGCGACTTTTGGATATATTTTATAAGATAAAAATATTGTATAGAGTTTTATTATCGATATATTTTTAATATTTCATATATACAAAATTTATCACAATTTTTAATAAATATCCTATAACTTGGTTCTGTGTCCATCATAAAATCCGTTAAATATTCTATAAATTGGTTCTATTTCCATCGAAAAATTATTTTAAAAAGTTCTTTAAAATAAAATCCATTTATAATATATTTAATTTATTTTTTTAAAAAATAGAGAATAAGTAAAAATAAGTTTTACTTAGTAAAAATACTTTCAGTTTAGTAAAAATAATTTAAGTTCAATAAAAATAATTTTAAGTCAATAATAAAATAGACATCTATTTACAAAGAAAACTACAAAAAAATACACTATTATATAAATAAGCGGATAATATCGTATGTCTAAATATCCTACATTATCAAAAGTGATTATATGACTGTATATAACACTCAAGCCAAAAAAATTTACCCTAAAATTTTATCAACCATCTGGGCATCGCCCAGACACAAAACTAGTAACTAATATATAAAGCTAAACTTTTAGCTATTCCATAAGACAGAGACACTTGGCGTTACAACTTTTCGCCAAGTGTCGCGCCAAGTAGACAATAATTAATTATTAGTATGACACATATGATTTATTTGGATGTACTTTTGTGGGATAAAAAAATTGGATACATTTAGATAAGTTTTTTAGGATAAAAAAAGTTAATTTAGGTTTTTAGTTTTCAATAAATTTGGATAGATTTTTAGGATAAAATTGTTGGTTTAGAAAATTATTTTCGATAAAATTCCAATTTATATGTGCAAATTGAATAATAATTTTCAATAATTATCCTATAAATTTAATGTTTTCATATCATAATATTGGTTTTTCAAATACTTCAAAAAAAAATCCATACATGATATATCTAAATAAGTGACATAAAACATATTCCAGTCATCATTAAATATATATAAAGTTGTATGATGATTAATCAAGTCACGATACAACACTTAAGTCGTACAATTAGCCTAGAAACAAGATATGGCATTCCAACTTTTTGTAAGTGTTGTACGTGCCGGTAATAACTAACCATGAGTGCTTGGCTATGAGAGATTTGAGGCAAAAAGAAGGTTTCATGCAAATAGGGTTTATAATTTGAATGTTAGTTTTTTTAGCAAAGCTAGGTATAATTTGTGAGTTAGAGGAGCCCGAACCCCGAAGTTTCAAAAGCAGCAACACCGCTTCCACGCGGCAAGAAACTACTCGCCGAAACGTTCACGACATATCGGCCCAAGGGAGGTGAGCATCCATAGCTGCTTCACTTACCCTGACGGAACTAATCCCTACCCCGCATGGTCCCATCCGAGGACAAAAACCACTTCCGCCACTCACAAGGGAGGAAGCGAGGTCCCAACGGCTGAGACCAAGGGAAAGGTCGTGATGGTTCCCTCCAATTCCCCATTCCAAAGATGGATTCTGGAAGAAAGAGTGCCGACGGTGAAAATCCCGGCACACATTATGTATGATGGTACTTCTGACCAGAAGGACCATATTGCCTCTTACGAGGAGCATATGTACTTGAACCCAGGTCCGAACCAACCTGGTGTAAATATTTTCCGACCACTCTAAAAGGTGTTGCACAATCGTGGATCACCAAAGGAGTGAAGGAAGGCTCTATAACTGGTTGGGAAGACCTCTCTAATTCTCTCCAATAAACCGCCGAGAGAAAACAACTACACAACTCATGAGCCTGCAGCAAGGGGAGGATGAAAGCCTTCGAGATTACCTAACTCGCTTCAACAACGAGTCCTCTAGAATCACAAGTCTGGACCAAGGGCTGACCGTTTTCGCGTTGTAGAGCGGGCTGTAAGTTGGCAAATTCCTTGACTTCATGGTCATGCACACCTCGCAGACCTTGGAAAAAGCCCTCGATGCTTCGGATAAGTACATCCGAGCTGAAGAATGGAACAAGAACAAGTCCTAATCTCAAACTGGGACTGGTAAGGCAAAAGGACAGTAGTTCGAAGGCCAGGGCCAGAAGAAAGGGAAGGCGAAAGCCTCAGAACCATCCTCGGCTACTGAGCCGAAGAAAGAAAAGACCCCATTCGTAGGGAAATACGAATACTACAATCCTCTCGCCCTACCGCGTGCTAAAATCTACAACATAACGAAGATCGAGGAGAAGTGGAAAAAGCCGAGGCCACTACCATTGTGGCATCAAAACAAAAATAAAGAAAAATGGTGTGAGTTCCATGAATCTCCTGGACATCACACCGAGGACTGTATCCAGCTGAGAGATCAGATCGAGGATATGGTCCGAAAGGGGTATTTGAAAAAAATATCTCGCGGACCGCCGCGAAGAGGAAAAAGCCGAGCAAGACTCTCGGCAGCAACTAAACTTCAGCCGATAGAAGGACAAGCCGCAGGATAAGGAGAATCCTAACATTATTCTCCGGGGGAACGAGCTCTAGCAATGCTCGAAAGCGCCACTTGAGGGGTCTGACCCATCAAGTCAACCACGCTTCCATTTGAGGTCCAAAGTCTCCGGTGCCAAACATCTATTCATAGCCGTAGATTGCCGGGGGGTGGCATACCCCATGATGACCTGATGGTAATCATCACGGGGATCGTAAACCACAATTTCTGGCGAACCCTCATCGACGGTGGTGGCGGGGCAAACATCCTGTTTCAGGATGCTTTTGACCAGCTCAAGCTGCAGTCTAAGGACCTGAGTCCGGTACCCTACCCGGTATCTCGATTCAATGGTTCTGCAACATATCCAGATGGGAAGATCACTCTTCCCGTCACCATAGGCAGGGATCGAGCAGCTCAGAACGTGATGGCCGAATTTTTGGTCATGGATGTTCCATCTGTCTACAATGTGATCATGGGGAGACCTATGATTCACCAGATTCAAGGGGTGGTCTCCACATATCATCAGATGATGATATACGTGTCCGACAAAGGCCACTCCGAAAGAATTCAGGGGAGCCAAGAGGCTGCCCGAAAGTGTAACTATTTCAGGTCATCCAAAGAACGTCGTGAAGACAAGGATGATGAGGAGAAAGAAAGAGAAAAGGATCGAAGCACCAAGAAGTAGAAAGGCTTAAGTGCTTCGGCCCAAGGGACCCCCTCCCAAGAAATATCAAAGGGGAAAGGAAAGGCTGGCTCTTCATCCGAAGCAAAAGTTCGAAAGGCCAACCGAAGTCTGGGAAGCTTGCCGTGACAGCAGGTCGGATTGTGAAGAGTCCAGTTTCAAAGCAATGGAGCTGGACCAGCAAACTGAATTAATCGAGTTGACCGAAGGGGACTCAGAAAAATGCGTCAGCATCGAGCTCGGACTTGATCCGAACATCCGAGTTAAACTCATCCAACTCCTTTGAGACAACCGAGATGTGTTCGCTTTCTCAACCGCTAATATTCCTGGGATTGATCCGAACCTCATCTCTCATAAGCTGAATCACTACTAGAAAACACCTTATTTACGACGGAAAATATCTGTAAAAAAAACCTTCTAAATCTGTCGGAAAATGCAGTTTTCGACGGAAATCCGTCGGAACACGTTGTCGGAATTCACTTCGTAGGAATTTTGGCTAACACTGGAGATTTTCCGTCGCAAATTATCATACCAACGGAATTTCCGACGGATTTTAAATTGTCGGAGCCAATGTTTGACCTGAATGGGAAGTCCGTCGCAAGCTTCCGACGGACTGCATTCCGTCGGAAAGTTTCTCAGCTTTTGACGGATTATTCCGTCGGAACCGTCCAACTGGGAAGCTAAGCTCCTTCCGACGGATATTTCCGTAGGAAGAAGGCAACTTTCCTACGGAAATTTCCGTCGCAACCTTCCTACGGACATATTTCCGTCGCAACATACCGACGGAAAAGTCCACCGGAAACTTATACCCATTGCGACGTATTTTAATTCCGTAGGAACTTTGCGACGGAAATAATGACAGAACTATTTCGAGTTTGACTATTTTCCAATGGCACATTGCTACCCTTTGATACCTGTACTTCCTACTTCTGATATTAATGACAGAATAAAATTAATGGTTTTTGTGCAAAAATAACTATATATATATATATATATATATATATATATATATATATATATATATATATATATACTAATTCCAATCTGTACAGCCAAGTAGTGTAATCTAAAATTAGTACTAATAAACACTATGTTAATTAAAGCTAAGCAACTGCGGGAGTGCCCTAGCCTGCTCCACCACTACCCGGGTCGTCGTCCCTGGGATCTCGAAATGGAGGTCGCACGGTGGAACAAGGGTCATTGTGGTAACGACTCATCATCCTCTCTTCCAACCTCTTCCCCATTTCTTTCATTTGGGCTCTTCTCCATTTCCAGTTCTATTTCTTCCCGAAGAGCCTGCACCCTGGTTTCCATCTGATCCTGCATCCGAGAAACAACAGAGGGCGTGTACTGCATGGAAGATGTGGAAAGTCGACCCATCTGGCTGCCATAGTAAAGGTCAGCACTTCCGCCAAGTCCCTTCACACGTCCTTTTTTGTTCCGACCACCCACTGTCTCCCAATACAGCTCATTTGGACTTTTCTGAGTCCTTTGAGTGCTAGCCTCCTCAACCCTTTTTCGGTAGGCCTCCTACAAGATAAACATATGAAAAGGAACAAATGAGTTAGTAAGTTATATAAATAAGCTTTGGGTACCATATTCATGAAAAAATAAACCAAGTAACATGACATAGGTGACTTCTACTTAGCCCAATTACTTCATTTCTTAGGAAATGAGCTATTTTTTTTCTCATTCCATATCAATTAAACATAGTTTTAGGTATAAAGTGCTTGAAATGCCAAAAAAAAAAACAAAGTAACAAAGTTTTACGTACAATATTGATGAAAAACGCACCAAGTATGGCCTAAGTGACTTCTATGTTGCCCATTTTCTCTATTTCTTTGCTAATGTTCTCATTTATGATCCAAACATGTCAAATGTACATAGTTTTAGGTGTCTAGGGCTTTAAATGCCAAAAAAAAAACAACACATTAAGTTTTGGGAGCCATATTGATGAAAAACGCACCAAGTATGGCCTAAGTGACTTCTATGTTGCCCATTCTAAATATTTATTAGCTAATGTTCTCATTTCTTATCCAAACATTTCAAATGTACATAGTTTAATGGGTACATTCCTTGAAATCACAAAAAACAAAAAGTCCCTAAGGTTCGGGGCGCATTTGGAGCCAAATTGAACCAACTATGGCCTATATGACCTATTCTTTGCCCATTTTCTTCATTTTTGACCAAATGAAATTTTTCTTTCTCTAAACATGTCAATTATGGTCATTATAAGGGGTACATGCCTTGAAATCACAAAAAACAACAAGTCCCTAAGGTTCGGAACGCATTTAGAGCGAAATTGAACCAACTATGGCCTATATGACCTATTATTTGCCCATTTTCTTCATTTTTGACCAAATGAACTATTTCCTTCCCTAAACAAGTCAATTATGGTTATTCTAAGGGTTAAATGCCTTGAAATCACAAAAAAAAAAAAACAAGTCCCTAAGGTTCGGGACGCATTTGGAGCGAAATTGAACCAACTATGGCCTATATGACCTATTCTTTGCCCATTTTCTTCCTTTTCGACCAAATGGACTATTTATTTCTCTAAACACGTCAATTATGGTTATTCTAAGGAGTACATGGCTTGAAATCACAAAAAATAACAAGTCGCTAAGGTTCGGGACGCATTTGGAGCAAAATTGAACCAACTATGGCCTATATGACCTATTCTTTGCCCATTTTCTTCATTTTCGAATAAATGAACTATTTCTTTCTCTAAACATGTCAATTATGGTTATTCTAAGGGGTACATGCCTTGAAATCACAAAAAACAACAAGTCCCTAAGTTTTCAGTACCATATTCATGAATAATAAACCAATGAACTAAGTTTAGGGAATTTGTTACCGCAATTTCCTGAGCTGTGGGGTTTACTTCCACTGTGCCTTTCCCAGGCTGCTCCTTGAAGTGTGTCTTCAGAAACAACTCAGGAGCTGTTGGAATCTGGCCCTTGTTCTTTGCCGCCTTTGATACAAAAAAATAGGAATAAACGTTAAACAAGTCACACCCTTGTTACATTGAAATACACAAAAATGCCTTCTAATATAAGATCTTTTTAAATAAACTTACCATTCTTTTTGCATGTTGGGTCGCTGACGACGAACCCTAAAAGTGGGTCCCTCGGACGGGAATTTCCATATCTAAATCAATACACAAAACTAAATCAATACAATATCTAAAAACATGTATTAACCAAGACCCAAAAATATCATACGCTGAACAAGTTCCACCAGTGTTCCTTCGTAGCTGTAGGAACTTCTCCAAAGTTCCTCCAAGGGGCTCGGTAGTATCTAGTGATCGTACCGGATACCGCACTCCGAACCTTAGGATCATCAAACCTATAACAAACGGGAAACAACAATGTTAAACAAGTTCGAGAATAGTAATATAAGCCTTGTATCTCATCATCCATATCATGATATGTACGTACCACAGCGTAGTAGGGTCCAAAAACGGGAGCTGTGACTCATCCTGTGACTCGTCCTGTGACTCATCCCGTGGCCCATCTTCTGGAGGAGTGGATGGACCCGTTTGATCCTCACCCAAATCAATGGCCTCCGCATCGAACATCTCCTCATCCTATTCGTCGGTGAAAAGGGCGCGGGCGGTCATTTTCTCTTTCCCCTTTACTTTATTCGACGATTGCCCACTATTTCCACCCGCCATGACTACCTGAATCAGATGTTAGTAAAATGACAAGATATTATAAATAACAAGTGCAGTGCAACGTAATATGGCTTTTATACAAACACTGAAAAGTTTTACATAAGCCTAATTAATAGTTTGATTTTATAATAAGAAGCATACTTTTATAGGAGATTAACATATTCTCCTACTCAGTACTCTCATCACTACTTTCACTACTAGATTCATCACTACTATCATCTAATACTACATCGATGTCATCATCATCGTCACTATCACTAGAGCCGATACTAGATTCATCGTCTTCATCACTTGAGATCACAAAGCCAATGTCATCGTCTTCATCATCATCATCCCTGGCGTAGTCTGGAATGTCATCCGGTGGGCAAAGCGTTGCATGTACTGTTGGGGATGGTGATTGCAGAAACTCTAAGTCCACCGGAGCATCAACACTGACCGTGCTTGTGTTTTAAACACAGGCCACCATTGAACATGGTCTCGTTTCAGGCTAGGGTATGATGCGTAGTACACTTGAGCCACTTGGTAAGATAAGACAAATGGATCATATTTGGGGTATTTCTTAGTATGATTTAATTCGATTAGCTTGTATTGTTCGTGTATGTTCATTCCCCTACCACAATCCATCCAATTGCACTTAAACAAAATTGTCTTGTATTGTCTCTTGGGTCCCGTGTAGACAAGTTCAATTATGTCGTCTAAAATGCCGAAGTACTCTCCGCCATCCTCACTTGATACACACACACCATAATTCATGGTGGATTTGTGCTTTCCATGGGCATGTGTATGGAAATTAAATCCACCTACAAAAATCTGGCCCCAAGTACGAACTCGCTTGAAGGGACACATGGACAACACTCGCAGGACATCCGAATTTGGCTTCTCTTCGACCACCTATAAAGTGGTTGAATATCAACATCACGGTTCTTGAATTCAATGAATTGAAATGCAAGATGTAAAATACAGAATTATTTCACGGTTACACCGCGTATATCACCTTGTGATGAAACCAATTAGAAAATTCAGCTTCGAAGTTCTCCATGACTTCTTCTTTACGCAGGAAAGGTCGAGTACTAAGAATGTAGTCCTCAAACTTCCTACGAGGCCAAACACACAATGTAAATCTACAAAGTCATCATTGTAAATGATCGTAAATACGAATACACTGAATACCTAGGCCTAATATACCTTTTGTATTCACCAAGAATGCCGGTGTTTCGTAACACGAACAAATGTGCACACTCGAGTTCTTTGTCATCTAAGAACCGAGTTCTACCCTCATTTGTCACACGACCACTATCCTCTTTGAACAACTCTAGTATTTCAGCGTCGT